AATAGCTAATATGCAAACAGCACTTATTATGTGTGCCAGGTACTACACATATTTTAGTTTATAACAACTCAAAGAAGCAGATAATATTACCCTTCATTAAACAAATGAAGGAATCCTGGTGGTGCTGGGTGTTAAATACTGGAGGTTAAAGGCTGTGGTTTGCACTCATCAGTCACTCTAGGAGAAAGATGGGGTTGCCGATTTACAGCCTCAGAAACCCTATTGGGAAGTTCGACTGTGAATGAGTCTGAATTGACTTGTCAGCAGTATTTTTTTTTTCTTTTGTTTATTTTTTTCTTAATAGATTAAACAATTGGTCTGTGATAAAATGAGAAATGATAATATACATTTTGGAAGGTTATTGGGAGGGACAAATGAGCTCATGCGTGTAAAGCACTTAGTGGTGCATGGCACATAGTCAAGTACTCGGTAAGTTAGTACTGAATAAGGAACATCATCATTATCATCATCATTATTATTATTTTTACTCAAAGAGGAGAGCTGAGACCTTCAGTTGTGGAGGGGAGGCAGCAGCCCTTGGGAAGAACTGAGGCCTGGGATGGCAGATATCTGGGTGCCTGTGTTAACCCACATTTATTCCTCATCTCCCAGGCTTGCCAGTTCCGGAAGGAGATAAGCATGGGATGTGGCTGTGGCTCCATGGCCCCCTACAGTTGCCATCATGAGGCTGCCAACCAGCGCTATACTGTCAAATGAGTAGCTAGGACCCCTTCCTCTTCCTTCTTCTTCTCCAAAACAGATACATTCAAAGACTCATCCTTCTCCTTTATCCTCCCGAGACCATGCCCTTGGCCGACTGGCCCTCCAGGTCTTCTCCATCTGCATGGTCAGGGGAGGCCCTATGCAGGCTCCAAGAGGGAGGCAGTGACCCTGTGGTCAATTGTGCGATCTAGGGGATGGCGTGTAATCCCTCTGCAGTGGTGTCTTCTGTACACGGAAGGGCCAGGCTTAGATGACCTCCAGGGGCTCGCCAGTCTTCACAGAGAGAGCCAGGGTGTGAGCAGTGGGAACCTTTGCTCCAGCCCCAGGGCACAGGAAGAGGCACTGGAAGATGTGGCACCTTTTACATCCCCCTCCAGAGGGAATTTCCTCACACTGTCCTCCTCTCTTGAATTCAATTCTCTCCATTCAGGATAGACGATAAACTTGCCTCCACAGTACTCTCTTAAACCACTCTGGTCAGTGGTGGACACCATTCTTGTTGAATAAAATAACTTCCTCTCCACTTGCCTCCAGCTATTTTTATTTGGCCAAGGACATGTCCTGTTGCCAGGCGTCAATCAAATCCAGTCTCTGCCACTTCAGGTTGTGTTAGCTCAGACAATTATTTCCCTGATCTGAAACCTTTTGTTTTCATCTGTAAAAAGAATATGACATTGCTAGCCTCAAAGGATCATGGGAAGGTGAGGGGCTTAGTGCACTTTCTGACACAGACTGGTTCCAAAACTGGTATCCTAGGATTGTTAGATGACAAGCCCGGCTCTGGCCCCACCCTCCTCTAGCTCACGCAACAACTACTCTCCTGAAGGGATACATTTGAGGTTTAACCACTTCCAAGTTCCTCAAGAGCAGGAAGGGGTGGGTAGATGCCTGAGTCCTCTGGAGAGAGCTGGCAATAAAAGAGAAAGAAGGTGGATATTCATTCACAAATATGGATTAGTGTTTATTCTAATGCGAGATTTCTTGCCCTCCACACTGTTGACATATGGGGCTGGACAATTCTTGTAGGGACTATTCTGTGCAGGGGAGCGTGTTAGCCACATTCCCGGTTAAAGCCCACTAGATGCCAATAGCACTCCTCTAAGCTGTAACAATCATAAACATCTTCAGGTACTGACACACATTCCCCTCCTTTTGGCGGTAAAATGACCCTCCTTTTGAGAATCATTCATTGTCTTTGTGGAACCTAGGGTGGGAGAGACTAGTAAAACAGAGTTGACACTCACTCCTGAGATGAGGTGGAGAACCTGCCCGTGCCTCTGTTTCCCCGTCCTGCACGATGGCCTGGGCGACTGGCCGCTCCATTCCGAGAACTCAGTCTTTGACCTGTCTCCATGGAGCCTCATTAATCTCCCATTAATCACATTAATGTGCAGTTGGCTTCTTGTCCTCTTCCCACCCATTTCAGCCCTGCCTAGGGCTTAGGCACAAGTCACGCCACGTAAGAGCAGAAATCCTTGTGTTTAGTCCTACCTTGAACCCCAACTGCTGTAGTGTCCTGCCCTCCTAGTCTCAAGGTCCTTCTTCTCTTCACCCCTCTGCCTGCCCTACTCTTCCCAGAAGTGTATTATTGAGCCCTGACTTTCAGTGCATTGAGGCAACTAACCACTTACTGTCTGCTCTGTGCCAGGTACAGGGACACAGATGTGGTCAAGACAAGGACCTTGTCTGCAGGGTGCTTACTCTCCAGTTGGGGGACCCACAGCAAATACAAATGTGTGGGATAAAGAGGAGAGGGAGTGAGGCACCTGGGCCCACAGCTGTCTTTCCCCACAGAAACTTAGGGGACTTTCTGACTGGGTATTGCCACTTAGGAATTTAGATAGTCATTGGGAGGATGCTTGCTTTGGGCAGAGAAGAGGAGGGTTTCTTGGAGATGCTAGAAATTGAGATGCCTGCATATCTGAATGAGGCTGGAGGGTAAATGGCAGGCAAAGAACTACTGGGCTGAGACAGGAGGGGAGAGAGGGGAAGGAAATGATGAGGATGCCCAGTAAACACATGAAGAAATGCTTTTGTTGATTAGCCACTGTTGCTGTGTATCACTGAGTCAGAAATGACCCGTAGTTGACCCGCTAGCAGGTTTTCAGAGGTCCTAAGTTGTGTCAGAGAAGATTGCCCATCCTCCTCCCACGGAGCATCTGCTCCATTCAAACCAACATGTCACTGGGTTGGCAGAGCAACTCCTTGTCACTTAGCCATTGTTGTTGTTGTTTGCTAGGTGCTGTTGAGTCAAGTACAACTCACAGTGTCAGTCCACCTGGTTGAGGACCTTCCTCTTCCACTGTCCCTCCACCTTTCCAAACATGATGTTCCTATCCAAGGAACGGCCTCTCTTAGCAACAAACCCAAAATACATGAGATCAACCTTTATCATCTTTGCCTTCACGGAGTACTCTGGCTACACCTTCTCTAGAACATATCTGTTTATTCTTTTGACAATCCATAGGATTTTCAGTACTCTTCTCCAACTCCACAGTTCAAAGGCACCAATTCTTCAGTCATTCTTATTCATTATCCAGCTCTCAGATGCATAGCAAGTGACTGAAAAGGTAATGGCCTGAATAGGGTGCACCTTAATCCCCAAAATGACATCATTTCTCCTCAACAATTTAGCGAGGTCCCTGACTGTAGACTTTCCCAGTGCAATATGTTCCCTAATCTCCTTACTGCTGGTTTCAAGTGTGGATTCAAGTAAAAGGAAGTCTTTGATGCTTTCAATCTTTTATCCATCTGTTATGATGTTTGGTAACTATGGTCCAGTGGTAAGAATTTTTGTTGGGTTTTTTTTTTCTTTTTACATTTTTTTAGCCATTAGAGAGATGCAAATTAAAACAATGAAGTACCATCTCATCCCAGCAACAAAAGAAAAATTCACTAAGTTAGCAAACAAACGCTACTGAAGGTGTGAAGAGACTGGAACTCTCAAATGCTGCTAGTGGGACTGTGGAATGGTGCATCCACTGTGGAAAATGGTCTGGCATGTCCATAAAAGTTGAGGACAGAAATACGATTTGATCCAGCAATCCCATTGCTAAGTGTATATTGCAAAAGAATAAGAACTAAGATGTGACTAGTTAAGTGAACATACATGTTCATTGAAAAATAATTCAAAATAACAAAGGTATGGAAACAATCCAAGTGTCCATCAGCAGAAAAAAGCATTAAAAAAAAACCAACCCAGACTGGCACCTAATTAATCATAATGGAATACTATATATCACTAAAGAATAACAAAACATTTGGGAAACACTGTAAAACCCCAGGGTAAATTTGAAGGACATTATTTTGCTGAGCAAAATAAGCTAAACACAAAAGAATAAGTAACTGGATATGCGCACAGCTATAAAAAAGCTAAGGAAAAGTGTATAAAGAACAAAATATTTGATGGCTACCAGCTATGTTAGGGGTGGGGAAAGGTAAATAAAATTAGTAATTAGATAATAGACGCATAATAAGTTGAAGGAAAGGAAAGTGTTTTTTAAAATGTCCCTTTTGTCTAAAAAATCTCTACCAAAAGTCTTAATCTCAAACCTACTGGGTGGCATGGGTCAGTCTATCACTGGGGAGGTGTGCAATATTACTTTCTAAGTCTATCTGTCCGTCCTTCTGTGCAGGACACTGTCTCCATCGGTCTCCACACTTCATCATCTCACCTGGACATCCTTGAGCACCTGTATCCCTGTGGCGGCCATGTGAGGACTCGCCCCACCTTTGCTCTTTCACCTAATACTCTGGACAACTCCACCCAGGGCAAGAAGAGTGACCGTGTGTGAGTAAGGGGTGTGGAGAGCGAGGTTGGCAAGAGAAAGGTGGAAGGGCGAAGGATTAGAAGGAATGGAATCTCGTCTCAGAATCCAGGCAATTCACCCTGCCCCACCCCTAGCCAGAGCCCAATTCTGCTCAAATTGAACATCCCACCAGGCCCTTCTTCCCTCAGAGCCCTGGACATCATCCCACCAAACAATCCCTTCTCTCGCCTCCACTGAGGCATCAACAATCTATCGCTTTCCAGGTCTCCTTCTCTGTCCTCAGATCCTAACCAGGCACCTGTCCAGATCCCAGACTGCACCCAGGTACCTGGCTCCATGACACAGCAGCTGCGGTCTCCTGTTATCAGGTCTCTTTGTGGGGTGGGGCAGCTCCATTTGTTTAAGATTTAGTCCTGAGGGGCCCCAACCCCTATGACGTCAAGCCTGGCCTTATATAAAATGCGAGGACCCCAGGCCCTGGGCCCCAAGCAGCCGCCTAACTCCACCATGGCCCAGCCAGCCCACTGCTTCCTTTCCACCTTTGGCCTCCAGGGCTGCCTCCTCTTTCTGTTGGTCTCTTGGGAGGCAGGTAAGGACATCTTCAGAGGTAAAAGGGTTGCCATTACACATGGAGAAAGAAGAAAGGTGGGAGGATTGTTTCTTGGCATTTGTAAGACAATGAACTACAGGTTCATTAGACATGAACTATAGGTAAGTATGATAGTGGGCGCAAGGTGGTCAGTTACAGTTGTTTACTGACCAAGTTTGCCGCCTGAAGGGTTAAGTAGGAGATGGAAACTAGCCTGTGACTTGCTCTCTGAGAAGTGGCCCAGAGAAAGTTTTTTCTCCCTAGTTCATTTGAAGGTTGGTACAAGTTGCAGTGGCCCTGGGTGGGCTTGACATTCTCTGGCATCTTTTTTGTGTTACTTGTAGATGTTCACATACTTCTTGCCATTTCATCCCCTCAATATACCCTGATATTCCCATAGCAGGAAAGTGGAAAGTGAGGCTTAAAAAGATAAAGGTGTTTCCACCACTCCATGTTACCTGCCACCCTTGAAGTGGGCTGTCAGTTTATCTTTTGCTCAATGTAGATCCTTTGAGCTTTGGTGCTGGAGAAGAGGGTTGAATATACCATGGACTTCTAGGAGAACAAACAGGTTTGTGCTGGAGAAGGGTGAAGCCAGAATGCTCCCTGGAGTCAAGGATTCTGAAGCTTTGTCTGACATACTTTGGACATGTTGCAAGGAGGGACTGGTCCTTGGAGAGGGACAACATGTTTGACAGAGTGGAGGGACTGTGAAGGAGAGGAAGACCTTTGATGAGATGGATTGATTCTGTGACTGGAGTGGTGGGAATAAGTGCATTTGAGATGGCTGGGTTGGCACAGGATAGAACAGCATTTAGAGCTCTTGTACATGGGGTCATTATGAGTTGCAAATGACTCGATGGCACATAACAACAACAATGTAGATCTGAGTTCCAGTCCTGGGTTTGGCAGCAGCTCCTGCATCCCTTCAGTGAAAAACCTCCGTCTTTCCTCCTCCCCAGATCCCTGGTAGCTACTAATATATTTTTATCTCTATGTGTTTGTCTAGTCTGAATGCTTTATGTAAGTCATTTAATACAATCTTTGTTCTTTTGTGATTGACTTATCCCACTCAGCATAAAGTTTACAAGGTTCACCCACGTCACAGTGTACATTAGAAGTTTGTTTATGGATGAATAATGTACCGTTGCATGCACACTCCATGTTTTGTTTTGTATCCTGTATTTGTTAATAGTGACTCGGGTTGCTTCCTTCATTGGCTGTTGTGAATAGTAACTACAATGCATATTAGTGTACAAGTATCTGTTTTGAATCTCTGCTTTCAAGTCTCTTGGAAAGAAGCATAAGAGTGGACCTTGGGTCACAGATTGAGCTCATATTGCACAGCTATTTTATCAAACATTTCCTAATATTGTTGCAAATGGAGCAAGCTATTCTTGGGATGATGGGCTCATGGTACAAGTCTCCTAGGAAGATAAAGTTGCTATCATGGTAGATCTATTGAGGTGACGTGACGGTCATGTTGTCCTGGGAGTTGGTCACTAATTTGCAATGTGGCTGAGTTCAGGGAAAAGGACTCACTTAAGTTTCAACACAGAATTTACAATCTGTGTTTCTGCTACTGTAATTCTAGAATCTATATATATGAGTCTGGGTATTGACTATCATCCTGTGGTTAAATGGTATTCCAAAACTGAGAGAGAACATATTTTTATTCTCAATGATTCAATTTCTTAGTGGAGTAGATCACTCTTTAATTTTCTAGTCTTTGAAAGTTATAGCCTCAACAATGAATAATTTTTTTAAATAAAGTGAACTGAAGAGCAATGATGTCAGTATGGAGACTAGGTATGCCTGCTACAGGCCACGATCTTTGAAATTACTTGCTATGCATCAGAGAGTTATACAATGACTAAAGATAGTAGAAGAAAAATTGAGCTGTGCTGTTGGAGAAAAGTATTGAATGTATCATGGACTTGTAGGAGAACAAACAAGTTCATTCTGGAGAGGGTGAAGCCAGGTTGCTCCTTAAAGGCAAGGATTCTGAAGCTTCATCTGACATACTTTGGACATCTTGCAGGGTGGAATTAGTCCTTGGAGAGGGACGTCATGCTTAGGAGGGTGGAGGGACAGTGCAAGAGAGGAAGACCCTCAATGAGATGGATTGATTCAGTCACTGGAGTAATGGGAATAGGTATGTTGGAGACAATAAGATTGGCAAGGGATGGAGCAGGGTTTAGGGCTATTGTACATAAGGTCTCTGTGAGTCACAGGTGACTCACAGCACATAACAACAACAAAGTGAACTGGGTGGGTGGTGGGGGGATGGTAGGGAGGGAACTGCAACTATGAATGAATGAAAATGTAACTTCTGGGAACTTTCATTAAAATCACGATAAAAAAAGAAAGTTACAGTCCATTTGTTTTTTTTGTGTGTTTTTTAAAATTTTAATTGTTGTGTACCATAGCATCAGATCTGACTGGCACAGGAGGATATTACCCTTCCTTCCACAATAGAGCATCTGGTGGATTTGAACTGCCCATTTGTTTTTAAATTAATGTACACAACACAAGACTGTTGGCAAGATTTCTAGAAAGGTCCCATTAGCTTCAAAACAGTCATGTATCTATTTGTCAATCCACTAAGGACCAGCACTGTTCCAGGCTGGAGACACAGTGATAAAACAAAACAAAACAAAACAAAACACAACACAAAATCTTTGTCATAGTTGTTATGTTTTGTTGTTGTTCATTACCTCTGAAAGCTGCCCCATCCTGAGCCAATCTCCTTATCTCTGACAGACCTAATTCCATTGCTCTAGTCACTGAGTTAATCCATCTCACCCTGAGTCTTCTTTTCCTGTGCACAATATCCCTCTACAAGGACTGGTTTCTCTTGACCACATGCCCAAAAAATGTGAGACAGAGCTTCAAAATCCTTCAGGGAGCAACCTGGATTCACTCTTTCCAGGACAGACCTGTTCATTCTCCTGGCAGTCCACGTATGTTCAACACTCTTCTTCAGCACCACAACTAAAAGACATTGATTTTTCTTCTATCATCCTTAGTTATTGTCCAACTGTCTGATACATAGCAAGTAATTGTGAAGACCATAGCGTGGATCAAGTGTACCTTAGTCTCCAGACTGACATCATTACTCTTCAGTACTCTAGAGAGGCCACTGACAACAGACTTTCCCAGTGCAATTTGTCTTTTGATTTCTGGGTTGCTGATGCCAAGAGTGTTGATTGTGGAACCAAACAAGTTGACATTACCAACAATCTCAATCTCTCTCTGTCATCATGAAGCTGCTTGTTATGGTAGAAATTAAATTCTTTATTGTATATTAGGGAGCTCTGGTGGCTTAATGGATAAACAGTTGCACTGCCAAAACAAAGGCAGGTGATTTGAACTCACCAGCTACTTCATGGACGAATGATGGGAAATCTTCTCTTGTGTGATTTAGAGTCTCTGAAAAGCCGCTGAAGGGTCAGCTATGAAGCAGTTCTGTCTCCACAGCAACGAGAGGGGGAGGGGGAGAGAGAACAGAAAATGAGAGCATTGTAGTAATATAATAGAGCAAGTTTGTGCATATATGTGTCAGGGGAGGGGAACCCAGGGGCTGTTGTTTTGAAAAGGATGGCCAAGGTTAAGTAGGAAAGACAAATCAGAAGAGAAACTTGGGGTGGCAAGAAGATGGCAGAACAATCAGGCTCTGTTAATACCAGAGCTTGTTTTAAAGACCACAAGTCAGATTCCACAATCATTTCAGTGTCTTCTGTTCTCTACACACGCAAAGCAGCAGCTCTCTTTCCGTACTTCCTGCTAATCTGGCTCAGTGGACATCATCGTTGCTGTTTACAGTTGAGGACAGGCACAGGACACAGAGCTGCTGAGGGGCAGAGCCTGGACCCTAATCTAAGCCTCTGATTTGTGCGGGCAAAAGTGCATTTAGTCACTCCGTGAATGTATCTTGATCTCTAACTGTGTGAACAGGAAATACAGATGTAGTGAAAAAAAGCCTGAAGTTGCCAGTTTTTTAACCGCTCTGAGACTCTTGTAAGACCCTTTGCTTTTGCCTCGTAGGTTCATGATGAAAACTAAATAAGCAAATACATGAATAGCATCCTGCAGGGGTCTCAGAAATTCCAATGCCCTTCTTCCAAGACTTAACTAACATGTTGTATTGTTCATTGCCATAGAGTAAAAAAATTGACTCATAGCTGACCCTCTAGTGGGTTTTTGTTGTTGTTGTTTTGTACCATGAAGTTGGAATTGACTCAGTGAGTTTTCAGAGGCAGTAAAATGCATGGGAAGACATTGCCCATCTTTCTTCTGTGCAGAAGCTAGTAGATTTGAACTGTGCACCTTTGCTTTGGTGAAATTCCTTACCACACAGAGGAGATCAATTTCATGATGGGCCATTGCTCATCTTTCTCCTGCAGAGCTGCTGGTGGATTCAAACCACTTGCCTTTGGGTTGGCAGCTCAATGTCTTACCTACTAGGCAACTAGGGTGTCTGGTCTAACTTAGAGAGACTGTAAAGTATTATGATCTTAACCAATAAGAATTTGGATTTGAACACTCTGGCCCCTCCTACCTTTCCAACCTGCACCACCTCCACCCCCTGCAGCTTGAGGGCAGGCACTGAGCTCTGCAGACCCCAAACACCAAAGTGAATAAATCCATCTCCAGAGGAAAAAAAAAAGATTTTTGATCTGGGAGTCAGATGGCCTTGATTCAGGTTCTGATTCAACCTCTTACTTATGGAGTGTCCTTGGAGAAATTAATTAACCACTCTGAATCTTGCTTCCTTATTTAGGGGAAAATATTATTTTTTAGTTGTTAATAGCTTGCTCAGCTCCACAATCTACACTCTTGACACTAGTGGTCAGAAAATCAAAAGACAAATTGCATTAGGAAAATTTTCTGTCAGGGACTTTTCCAGAGTACTGAGAAGCAACGATGTCAATCTAGAGACTAAGGTGCATCTGATCCAGGCTATGGTCTTCGCTATTATTTGCTATACATCAGAGAGCTGGACAATGATTAAGGATGACAGAGAAGAATTGATGTCTCTGAGTTATGGTGCTGGAGAAGAGTCTTAAATATACCATGGACTGCCAAGAAAACAAATAGGTCTGTCTTGGAGAGGGTAAAACCAGGTTTCTGCTTGGAGGCTAGGATTTTGAAGCACCACATCATACACTTTGGTCATGTGGCCAGGAGGAACAGATCCCTGAAGAAGGAAATCATGCTGGAAGGGTGGAGGGACTGCACAGGAGAGGAAGACCTCGCATGAGATGGATTGATACAGTAACTGGTGCAATGGGGTTAGGTGTGTCGGAGTCGGTGAGACTGGCTAAGGACAGAGCAGGCTTCAGAGCTGTTGTACATAGCGTCCTTATGAGTCTTGTGACTTGGCAGCAAAGAACAAGAATATCTCTAAGTTAACATACTGATACATGCCTTCACTTAGAGAAACTGCCTGCCTCATAGTAATAGTGTTATTGTTACTGCTGTGGGACTGTCTGTAAGTGATTTTCCTTTCCTGTCTTAGTTGTATAGTGCTACTATAACAAACTATAGTGGATGGTATTAACAGAAATTTATCTTCTTAGATTTTCACGTCTCATGTCATTCATAGTCTTAAAGTTCATTGGAGGGTCAACTATGAGCTGCTTCTGACTCAATAGGAATGAGTAAATGAGTGAGGAGAGGAGAAGTTCAGTTCAGGGTGTCGGCTCTAGGGGAAAGGCTTTGTTTCTTTCTGTCAGCTCTGGAGGAAAGTCCTTGTCTCTTCAATTCTGTTTCCTGGTTCATTAGATCTATAACCATTTGCCTTGGCATCTCTAGTTTATCTCTGCTTACCTGCTTGCTTGCTAGCTTGTTTAACCTCTTTCATATCTCAGAAGAACTTGACTCAAGATGGGATAAATAATGTATACTCATTGAAACAGATGAGGGAGAAAACTGTTTAAAAGGGATATAAGATTAGGTATTATTGTCAGGACAGGAGTCCAGAACGAAGGCGGTATAATGGAGTGGACTTGGGTGGAGGGATTTTAAAACAATGAAAGAATTTTTCTTTTACTTTTCAAAGAGAAGAGTGTACTGGGGGGGGAAGGGTGGCCAGGGAGAAAAGTGTAACAATGAAAGAATGGGAATCCAAAGTCTCTGTAAATTTTCATGAAAATTAATAAATAAAAAAATTAATTAAAAAAAAAGTTGACAGACTATATCACTGAGGTCAAATATAGCTACAGTCTGGTTTTGTACACTCGTGATCTGAGGATATATTTTGCAGATGACCTTTTGCAATAAATAGAAAAGAGCTTGACTTAAGATACCTCTTACATTAACCTTGTCTCATTAACATAACAAAAGGCAATCCATTCTTCAATGAGGTTATAACCACAGGCATAGAGGTCAGTGTTCACAGCACATATTTTTTGGGAGACCCTATTCAATCCACAACATCCTCTCAAATTCAAGCATCTAGCTCTGAAATAGATGGGTCTGTCTGACAGTCTTAAAAGTGATTGTGGAGGGGGCGGCGATATATCATTATAGAAGAGAATCCAAATAGAGAATGCCTGTGAGATCTGGGCCAGAGGAGTCCCATAAACCATAACTATTATGGTTGCTGGGGAGTCTTTGCGCGGTTGTTGTTGTTGTTGTAGAAATGGTTAATTGCTTGACTACTTACTGAAAAGTTGGAGGTTTAAGCCCATGCAGCGGAAGTTCACACACCTAGGAAGACAGCCCTGGCATTCTACCTCTGAAAAATCAGTCATTAGACACTCTACAGAGCACAGTTCTCCACTGACACACAGCAGAATCATCAATCAGGATTGACTTGATGGCAAACAGTTTAGTATTAGCATTATTGCCAAGGGAGTTGGAAGGTGGGATTGGCAGAGTAGAGTGAGGGTCTGATTATTCAGGCGTCCTCTTTTGCTTTAACCTCAATCCCCTTCAGAGACTTGGGCTCTACCACTCTCACCTTCTTCTAGTCCATTTTTATTTCCCTCAAGGACTGAGTTGTCAGCCCCCAACTCTGACTCTGCTGGTTGGCAAAGAGGTGCTGGCACTGTGGCTTCTTATGACTGGGAACGGATCCAGGTCCTGGTCGCCACCTTGAGCTAACAGAGACTTGAAATCTCAGTTATGTATTGACACTATCTCTCACTCTTTGGTGATCTCCTGACTCCCAAACGTATGGTATCAGAGACATCTCTTCGGTCTCCATCTGGTTGTTTTTCACAGGATTAAGGCTCATATCTTTCAGTTGATAGGGGTGTTTTGCTTCACACCCTGTCCTTAAACACAATACTTTCCAAAATCCAGCTCCTACTTGACTCCTGTCAGGACCCCAAAGCAGATATCTTCCTTTCCATGCACTCAGTTTCCTATTACACATTGCCAGCTCCTTTAAAGGTGTGTGATGACCAGGACTCACTGAAAGAACTGCAAAGGCTGAGTCATTTCACCCATTTTCTTTTAAGTTAAGGCAAACTTCACTTCCACAATGAAAGTTTTACATCTCTCTCTTTTACTCATCCTGCATTCTTCTGTTGTTCTTTTCTCACCATCGGTGTCCATTGCTAATCTCTAAGGGACTTTTGTCAGAAGTTCCTCAGTCTCTGATGCTGTTGCGCTTGCATGGAGCTAGAATGTTAGGTCAAGCACAGTCCTGCTGTGTAAGAGGACTCCATGCCATACATGGTACAAACTCTGAAGGACTGGTACCCAGTGAACACAATGCCAGTCAGTACCTGCTCGCCCCATTTTACAATCTGAGAGCAACACTGGAGAGCAGGAGTTAAGAGGCACAACAAACAGCTAAAACATTGAGTTGAAGGTAGCAAGAAGGAGTAGTTAACAAAAAGTTTTCTAAGCACTCAGATGAAGTTAGTTTGTGTCTGCTTAGAGGGACCAGGAAAGATATCTGGAGACAGTCAGGATCGGAGGTTGAAAATGAAGGAGTGGAGATGGGGCTTCGGGGGAGAGTGGGAAGAACTATTTTGCAGAAGGTACAGCATGAACTAAAGTCCAGAGGCTGGAAAACTCCAAGTGAGAGTGGGAATGAGATATTTTCATAGGCTGAAGAGCCCAATTAGGAAAAAGAAAGGTCCTAGGAGTGAAAGAGGTGCGTAGTGAGTAGGGAGTTGCACGGCCAATCCAAAGGCACTGCTTCTTGGACAGTGTGAAATCATTAGTGGTTCCTCAGGAGAAAGATAGGAAATCTCCTCCCATGTGATTTACAGCTTCCAAAATCCCCCCTGAAAGATCAGCTATGAGTCAATTCTCACTTGACAATAATGAGTGAGAGAGGGTAAAAGATTAAGGAGGGAGGCCAAGAGGAACATGGTGGAAGTTTCTTATTTGCCTTTCTCCTCGCCCTCTCTCTTCTTCAGGTGCTACCATGCTACAAGACCTTCAGAAAACTGGTGAATCTTCAACAGCTGATCCTTTACTCCACATTGCTCCGGGTCTTGTTTCTAATTCTCCCATTCGCCACTCTGCTCTTGATTCTGCACACAGCCCTCCAGTCCTCCCCAAATCTACAGGAATCCATAAAGTGAAACAGTACTGCAACACCACACGTCATCTTAAACCTGTTCACACACCTAAAGAAAACTCCAAAACTACAGACCAGAAAAGCTCTCCAACTCATGAAGCTCCTTCTACTTCGAAACAAAACTCCAGTAACGAGGGAAAAGTTATTCGGAATGAACGTTCTGCTGAATCTGGCAACACTAACAATCATAAAAGTTCTTCTGACGTAAAACATACAACCCCAAGATCCACAGGGAAAATAAATTGTAAGACTACAAAGAAACGAAATACAACCAGCACAAGAAGCTCAACTACCACATTAATAATGACCGTGACCACTACAGATGCTAGAAGCACCACTACCACCGCACACAAAACTACACCTCACATATCAGTCAACCCAGAGATAAACACAACACCCACATCATCCTCAGAAAACACAAAAGAAGCTTGGGATACAACGACAGCAGTCCCGAGAAAGAGGATAACTACTGCCAGGATATCACACAAGGCCACGATAACCAGTGGACACTCAAAACCAGCTGATGACCACACTCACACTGAATTAGACTCAGACAAGACCACTAAATCTCCAGTACAATTCTCAGTACACACTGGGAAGACCACATCAATCCCTGAAAAGACCACAAGTGCACTAGTGAGTGTGCCAGAATTGACCACAGAAATTCCTGAGATTAAAAATGTCACAGATAGTGTACCAGAAAGGACCAGAGAAATCCCTGAGAAGATCACGAGTGTCCCAATTAATGTACCAGCAATGACCACAGAAACACCAGAGAAGATCACAAGTGTTCCAGTGAAGACCACAGATGTGCCAGAATCAACTATAGAAGTCACTGAGAAGATTGCAAGTGCCCCAGTGAGGACCACACATGTGCTAGAATTGACCACAGAAATCCCTGAGAGGATCACAAGTATCCCAGTGAATGTACAAGAATTGACCACAGAAATCCCTGAGAGAATCACAAGTGTCCCAGTGAATGTTCCAGAATTGAGCACAGAAATCCCTGAGAGGATCACAAGTGTCCCAGTGAATGT